TTTTTTTTTTTGAGAAGTTGTCACTTTATTTCAAAAACAGTGGACGAGGCCGGGGACCTCACAATTCAACCCGGAAGAAACAAGTCACCATGCTGAAAACCGGGTCCAGCGTCCCAAAGCCTCCCCAAAAAATACTACTTCTGAAAACTCCAACTTGTAGCTCAGAAAAAAAGGTGACCGAGGAGAAAGCTATATCAATTCCCATCCTTCGGCCTGTACTACTCAATCCTGTGCTGGGGTCCGAGACCAGCATCCCGCTATATCGCGCTTTAACCCAGCTCGTCTGCTTGTGCCTGGGCCTAACAGCCATAGGTCCATCTCGTTACAACCTACACCTTCTTCCCCCGAATACAACGTACGGTCATTTAATAACTGTACTGTATTTAGACTGAATTGTCGCCCAAATACAGCCATACGGTTTCACGTTTTGACCCAGCTTGCCTTGGTGTGGCAGCGAGGTGCATTCAGTCTCACTTGTTGACCCAGGTCGTCTGTTTGTGCCTCGCCCTGTGTTTGTCTTGTTATGCCAGGCCCGTTTTTCTTTCCAGACCCTGTTGCTGAGACAGCACGGGAGGGCCTGGACTTAGGTAGGGACCCAGGTCAGTCGGTTTTTTTTTTGGCGGGGGGGGGGGTCGAAATTGTTGAAATACCCCTAAAAGTTGGGGTCTTTGGTTAGATACCCCTAAAACACAGTGGTAACGCTGAAATGCCCCAAACTTCTGCATCTGCCACTGCCACGGTCATTGCCAATTGTTAGACCACGCCCTGTGTGGTTGCACAGCCTGGGGCGTGGGGGCAGAGGTTGTGGACGCGGGAGCAATTGCGTGCGGCAAAAGTGCCGTCACACAACATTGGCTGGCTGAAGTGGTTGGCCCTTTTTCTTTCCAGGCTGGGAGGCTAAGTTGTGAAAGTAACCTATACAGCATTCTTTGGAGCCCCGCGGAGGTTGGGTGGCACTTGACCACAAAGGCAGGCGGTGCCAGCAAAAAGAAAACAAACCCCCSGCGTGGTCGCTTTGGCCTCCCATCTATCTATCGATAATAGGCTAAKAGCGTCTAGTCTGAGTATTACCCAAGAGATAGATCACTGGATCCCCCGRTCGGCATCAAGCAGAGTCTGCTATGTTCGTAGGGGAGGGGACCTGAGGGGAGGCACGGGGGATTGGTCCGCTTTATCCCTCGTGCTACCGGCCGTCCCCTGGCCGGTACCCTGCAGGCTCAAGGGACCGTAAAAACACGGCTCTGGTATGCTACGGGTTTCCCCATATGCCTACAAGTAGGAGTAGTGGTAGGTAGGTATAGGTAGTGTGAGGAAAAATTGAGAGAAGAGTATAGTTTAAAAAAAAAAAAAAAGGAAAAAAAAAAAAAAAAAAAAAAGAGAAACGTCCAATGAATCGTCGTTGGTTTCTCAGCTCTGTCGTAGGGCCTCGCTCCACTACTTCTGAAATGTGCACAACGAAAACGAATCTTCCCTTAGAACATGGAAAGATACACCGGCGTTTGTTTTGTCTTTTGTGCATCTCGAGAGCAGTGGAGCGAGGCACAAAAGACAAAAGAAAAAAACGGCCTCTCCACATGCACAGAACACAAAAATATGGCAATGTATCTTTCCATGTTCTAGAGGTGGATTCGGCCTCATTTTGCACATGTAGTCCTTTTACCCAAACGAGAAACGGACACACATGCGGACGCCGACCAAGGTAGTTACCTCAACGACCTCCCCAACCCGGCACCGGTCGTTGAGCCTCTAAGCTCTGAGACGACCGATCGGCCTACCGGTCGTTTTAACGTTGCCGACCGCACCCTTCCAGCACCCCTGTTGACGCCCTATAGACCCCAGTTAACGGTTGTCGACTTTCCCGAAAGAGAAAGTTTTTGCTACACAACAAAAGGCGACAGGGTAAGGCCCAGCCTATGGCTGCAAACTTCGGCCCTGGGCTGCAGGGGCCATTGCATTTCTTTTGCAATCGGCAGGGGTCCAAAGGCCTAAAATACTGGGGCATATAGACGAGTTGCCCAGGGCCCGGTAGGGGTATACTCAAAAGATGACAGGTCCAATTGGCGATTAGGGTGCTTCGAAAAGTTTCACTACTGTCATAGGGGCATTTCAGCATACTCATGCCTTTGAGGGGTATCCAACGAATTTCCCAAACTTTCAGGGGCATTTCAACAATTGTCCCTTCCCCCCCCCCCTCCAAACAAACAAGTAGCTCAAATTGCAATTGCAAAACACAATCCAGTCGCCTAGCTCGGTTGGTTAGGCACGCAAGTGGCTTTCAGGAGATCGAGGGTTCAATTCGGACGGCCACCTGGTGCCAACCAACTAAGATAGTCAGCTGGATCCTCCCAGCTAGTATTTCTAGGGTCTTCAGCCAACGCGGGTGTTCCCGTGGTGTGACGGGCAGTGTGTACAAGGCCTGAGTACATATTCACCGCGGCATGCTTATCTGCGATTACTAGCGATGCCGACTTCAAAGAACAATCCGAACTGAGGCAATGTTTCAGGATTCGCTTCGCCTTGCTTCCTATGAGCGCAAGTGTGAGTGGGTTGTTTGTGGTGTGTGAGAGAGTGTTGGTTGTAGACACTGTTGTTACTCGATATGGGTGGGGGAAGATGAAAAGGGAGGCGCAATCAACTGGCAAATGCTTGGTCCTTCTGTTATCTGTGCCCCCACCGGCGGCTCCAATCCTGCACCCTAAACCACTACCGTCATCACCCAAATACAACGGACGGTCATTATAGCTGTATTTGGGGCATCTTCGAGTCTAGATGCAGCAATAATGGGCGTACGCCGTACGTTATATTCGGGTGAAGATGGTAGGGCAAGAGGCAAACATGCAATTACCTCCCTCCACCGACAGAGGTAGCCTCCCTTCACTGAAGAGAGGTAGATAGCTATGCTTGCAGGGGTCCCTGTATAGCCTTAGGTGCAATGGCAGGTAGGTAGTGAGAGACGGGAAGAAAACAATGTTCCATGACATGGCAGAAGCTAGTTAAAAAATGTTTAGTTGTCCCCTATGACAAGACGACACTTTCTCAACAAAAAAAAGGCAAATTCAGAACATATAATG